GAAAATTACGGTCTGAGATTGAAAGCAAGATCAAAAGCATTTCCGCTTTCTTTTGGTACTGGGGATCCAACTTGGGTCCTTGCGCTTGCAAGGAAGGCAGCAGAACCACTAGCTAAATCTCCAGCCCCAAAAGCATTTTCACTATAATGTACATCAGAAACCCCCTTAATCATAACATTTATTACACATCATGGAGCAGCTATATATCCAGCTTTGTGTCATTTTTTTTTGGCAGCCACACTCATCCACTGTAATCCTTTTATCTATAGGGATAAGAAATAGTCTGACTGCTAGAAAGAATAAAAATGTCATAATTACACCACAGTACATTGTCCGACTTTAATGCAAGCAGAAATATCAAGCAAAGAGGCTGAGTAATGATGAGATGGGTACATGCTCTTCAGAAAATGTTTCAGAATCTCCAACAGTAATGTAAGCACTGCAATTATTTTTTTAAAAATCTAATTTTAAAAAAAGAGGTTATGTTCATTGTTGTATAACCTTTATTGTCTGAGTATAATCCTTAATTTCTCTGTACTTCAATGGCTGCACAGAATAAATTTAAACTATCATGGGATTTTTCAAGAGTCATAGAATTAAGATCAATACACAGCAAGTTGAAAACAAGAAGAGTAAGCAAATCTAAGGACTCTATTAAAACCATCTTTTTCTCATATTTTACACACTCTAATCCTGTTATTTCTATTGTATTAATGCTACAGCACAAAGCATGCTAATATTGTAGGGATAAAGTATCTTAAGTAAAAATATTTTAGAGGAAATAAGGAGGATGCCCAAAATAACATTACAGACTATACTGAGGGAAATGTGTTAAAGGGGGTGGGGTAGGATTTATGGAATTGTGTGGAGTTCCCGGAAAGTGTTTAGAAAATTATTCTCACACTCTCCATTATTTACTCTAATTGTGAGTAAGATATACCACAGTACTACTTAGTTTTGGAAATGCTACTACTTATTCCTTATTAAAGAATAGTTTCAGTCATTTTAAATTTGCAGTAGATCTTGAACTATGACTGTTTAAAGGTCCTGGATTTTTCTGAGTTGATTGAGTTATATGTTGGTTGCGATGCTGCTGCTGCAAATGAGAGACTCATCTCAAACGAGCTCTTTTTGTTCAGTTTTAGGTGAGCTGACGTGAGAAGTCACTCTGTGCAGATCTGGACAGTTACAGTAACTGGTTATGAGAGAGAGAGAGAGAGAGGGACTACTCATTTTATTTTGTCAGATCTAATTAAAGCATCTAGGGACAGGCCCAATAGTGGCTTCACATAACTACAAAGGCCACAATAAGGTATTTAAAAAATGATAATATAAATCATAAAACCAAATCTTCCTAATACTTCGTGCCAATTTTCCTATATAAACAAAGAGCAACCTAAAAAAATTACTGCCCAACCAGCAGGCAACATGAACATAAGACCCATAACCAAAACAAAAGAAACCCAAACCCCAAACAAAACATTTATTAACAAGTACAATCTAACTTCAAGTCTAATCAACTTTGAAAAGGCACAAAGAAAGATGACACAAAAGGACACTGTCAAAGAGCTAACGTTCAAAATCTGACTTCATCAGTAACATACTGGAGTGATATGGTGGGAAGAAAATCTGAGACTATAAACATATCAATTACATTGCTTTTTTGCAACTGCAGGGTAAAAGGCAATAAATGATATTTAATTATGTATTAACCCTTACCTAACATTTTACACTTACTCTACAAAGATGTCTGACACTTTTTAAAGTTAACAGAAAATTACTACTGTACTTATTTCACGACCTACCATCACTTTAGTAAAGCACCAATTTAAAACTTTTCATTTTGCTACTCCTCTTTGCTCAGTGATAAATGTCAAGATCATTTAAAAGTATGCAAAGATCACTTGCTACCTTCATAGTTGTTGGTTTTATCTTGCTGGTATGAGGAAGAAAACCTAACAGTAAGTGGTATTTTAGGCTGTAAAAAATAGGTTGGGTTTCTTATAAAAATAACTTCAACTTGACCTAAAAAAATTCTAAGGCAAAAATTATTTTGACAATGTAGTGTGAAAAATAAGCTTACGGCTTAGCATTTAATAGTGTTCATTAAAAAACATAACATTCAATTAAATCGAGGAAAACAGTATTCTTAGTACAATTGGTTTGTCAGTCTATTCCCAGAGTATTTTCTTCTCCTCTTATTTTTATACATACAAACAAACACAAACATTCAATACTTAAATCTTAGTATTTAAGCTAATGATTTTTTAAAAATCCATTATCCTAGGACTTCAACTGTGCTTCTTTGGACAAATATTTATTCAAACAACAAAGAATTTAAATTCTTTTAAATGGTTTAATACCTACTAAAAATCTTTGGTGCATTTAAGTCAAAACTGATTAGGTTAATAAATTTCTGCACTTGATAAGTTATTCAATTTACAGATTAAGTGCTAACTGCTATCTACTAAAAATTAATTTAAAATAATAAATTAGGCTCATAAAATAAAAAATTCTCAATGAGGCTAAACTTGAGAGGTTAAAAATTTTAAGTATAGTTACAAAATAAATGGATTTTTAAAGTTATAGAAAGATCCACTAAAAACCTCATTTTATACTTTTTGTGCCAACTTTAAAAGTTTATATACATTCAGTTTGCCCAAATCCATCAGGCGTTCCCAATCTAAAAGATGCCATACATTTTTAGAAATTATAGGCAGCAGATTTATACTCTTCTTGGTGTTCTCTCCGCCCACTCCTTCCCTAGGAAGTCTATCACCGACCTCTAAGACCGGGTTAGGAAGTGAGGGAATGCAGTGCCTGGCACACGGTGAGCATCCTTCAATGCTCTCTCTCTTCTTCCCTTCCTGCCAGCTCTGCTGCTCTGACCACACGAGCTTCAACAGGCCCTTTAAACCTCAGTATCGGAGTCTTTCCATCTGAAGCAGGAATATGTCAGGTTCTGTTTCACATATGGTCATGAGGTTCAGATGAAATAACATGTGAAGGCATTTTAGAAAACAGGAAACCACTACTGAAGCTGAAATTACCTAAAAGAACTAAATACAATTACACACATGTATTCACTTTACATAAGAGATGTGTTCCAGAAAAGTTCTGTGTAAACCAATTCCTACAGTTAAATCTTATATTTAAAGCATTAGAATATTATTATTAAAAGAACCCTAAATACCTTCAAAACACAGTATTCTTTTCAATGTAAAAATTCAATATTCCCTTTTTCTGCCACCAAATATACAATATACTGCACACACACACACACACACCATTTGCCTTTGCGTAAGTCCAAATTTTTCAGTATTAGCTTATACATAAGGCAGAGTATATGTTTAGATATGATTTGTTTCACTATAGTAAGATTTTTAGTTAAAATCTTGTCAGTATTTATGATAAAAATCACAAAGATGTATCTTTTGCAGTCAATTTTAAGAACAGACTAACAGTACCTCCTATAATCAAGCTCAATCATGTAAGTACCCCCAGATATTACATTTCCACACAAAGTACATAAGAATGCTTTAAAAAGAAAAAAACAGTACAGTAATTATGACTACTGGTCCTAAGATAATTACAAGCAAACCTTTGTAAATAAGGCAAAACTCAGGTTGGTTTTATTATTTATATCAGCTACTTTGGTTAACTGCCTCAATTCTCAACATTTTTATTTCTTTTATCATCATAATTATGGCAAATGTTCCTATAAAGTACCTTCATTTCTTAAGTGCTTTAACAGTTTCCACTATTACTAACTGGTTAAATTTTACTCACTGAAAGTTCATTATTTTATTTGTGATTTTTTTTCACAAGGGCCAGGCCAGGCATTATAGTTTACACACACAAAAAAGTGCTTAAAGCAATTAAAAGTGTAAACAAAACTGAAAGAGAACTTTTAAAATTGCTACTGTCCAGTCCTTTATATACAAATAGCATGTTAATAGTAAATCAACCCTGCCTAGACTATCCTCAAGCACCCTTCTAGGAGACATTATGCTAGTTTAAGTTTAAACTGACTTGAAAATATGGAAAGTGCACACCTTTAAAAGTATCTTACCATTCTGACCTTCCTTAATTAAATTTAATCAGTGAGGTGTTGCTGTAATTACTATTTCCTTTCAACAAGTCCATGACTTTTGTCTCATACAAAAATAAGAATCAAGGATAATTATAGGTATTAAGCTTATATGAAAGCAAAAATAAAGATCTGGATTGGATGTAAATCTGTACATAAGTAGTAGTTCCATCCAATTAAACAACATTAGGTTAAATTAGGTGCAAATATCACAATCTGTTTGGCACTTTTTCTAACAATTATACATAAAACATGTAGGTTCTGTTTCCCAGTTTCAATTAGAAAAATTAAATAAAACATAGAATAGCACGTTAAAATAAGTGGCATTAGTTCTAACTGCCCGTTACTCAGTGAGATGAAGATACATGCTGTGATATATTATTAATGTTTCTGAAATAAACGATAAAGTACAAAAAGTGAACTTACCTCGAAGATATCTAGTTAAAGATGGCATATTTTCCTTTCAACACATTTTCAACTTGTATAATTCAACATTTAAACCTATAGTTGCCACTTGTTATTCATAGTAACTGAAGTATAAGCAAAATTTACTTATCTGAATTATCACTTCAACCCTAAATTTCTTTTAACATGCTAATCTTGTTAGCTTTCGGGCTTTGAGTTTGTCTAAATTCGAAAGGAGAATGATAACCTAAAATTATGGATAGATGTCAAAACAACACAGAAATACTCCTAACTTTCTTATTTTATCAAATTCCTAATTTCAATTTTAAAAATCTGGATGAAATAATAAATCTTAATTTAGGATAAAGAACAATTGTAATTATCAGTATATTTTTCATATTCCTTCTTAATGGTTACATGACCCTTAAACTTATTTGTAAGATGAGAAAAAGAAAAAAGGAGACTAAAGAATAAAAATTTCCACTGATCATTAAAAAGAAAAAAACATACTGTCACCAGCTAATAATTCTGAAAAGTTTAAGAACCATTAAAAATTAGCAGGAATTTTAAAAATCACAAAAACATTTACTTTAAATATGATGCCAAAATGTGTCCAAATATCCATATGTTCAGTTAACATTTTTCTTGGTTTGAAATTGTTCTAAGGACTTGAGAAACCAGAGGAAATTAAAAAAACAAAAACAATAGCAACTCTACTAATTTAAAAGCCACTAGCTTTTGTCTACCATTAGCATACAACCATCAAAAAGTTTGTGGAATGTTTTCTCATGGATGATGTTCATTCGCAGAAATGTTTTGAACAGCAGTAGTGTTATCAAGACCCAGCAATGTTCCAAGGTAAGACTGCTCTCGAGGATCTAGCATTTGTTCAGGTCGGACTGGATGAACTATATTTGCAGGCTGAGGAGTAAGAGTATATTTTTCCAGAAAAGCTAAGTCAGCCGCGCGTGGATAATCCGTGGGCTGTGGCTGTGGTGACAGGATCTCATGAGAGGACGGTGGGAGTGCAGCCGTATGTTGGACCAGATCACTTGGAGCATCAGGCATCTGAACTGGAACCAGTGTCACTGGAACACACACTTCAGCAGACACATTCTGTAATATAGTCTTGGCTTCTGACTGATAAACTTTGGGCTGGTCCAAATACTGTTTTGTTTCTGTTTGAAAGATTTTATCATCAGATGAGTATTCCACTGGCAAAGACACAAGTTTTTCATCAGATGTACTGAGAGGATCATCAGGAGACTTAATTCCATGAACGTGGTCAATATGGTATTTTAGCTTGTCTTTTCGCTTAAATGTTGCATTACAGTGCTGACAGTTGAAAGGTCGGGCATCAGAATGAATAACTAGGTGTTTTGTTAAAGTTTTTTTAATTCTAAAAGACTGATTGCAAATTTGACACTTGTATGGTTTTTCACCTGCATGAACAAAAATGAAATTAAAATATAAACTCAATCTATTTGATGATTTAACAGTAAATATTCCACATGTATACTTAACAAAAACTTAGTAAGAGTAAGAATATTGTATGCTACCACAAAATGGATAGTCCAGTAGACTGATAAAGAATGAGTTAAATAAACATCAAAAAGATTGCTTTATCTGGTGTGAAAAAGTAAAATAGTACTCAAGACCCTATTAGCAATGGGAAACAGGAAGAAAAGGACTAAAGGTGTGGGGACAGTGAGAAGGGAAGGGGAATAAGGGAAAGGGAAAAAAATATGAGAAAATGTAAAAATGCAATTAAAGTGTTTGTAGGTGGGGAGGGGAGGAGGGGATAAAGGGAGAGTGGGGACAAGAGGAAAAAATGAGAACCAAGACCTGGCATGTAAAGGTACAAGATCCCAGTAATGAATGTAACTGTACTGTCTACATAGAATGTACCAATAAATGCAATTTAAATAAAAAAAAAAGATGGCTCGAAATCTGGCTATTCCATTCACTACCCAAACCTTGAGCAAACTACCCAACTTCTAAGTCTAATTTCTTTACTTGTAACCTGAAAATAACTATAGTACTTAAATGAGAGAGTGATACAACAGTGATTAGCACTATACCTAACACACAAGTAAGTACTTGATAAACTTTAGCTATTGTTAGAATAACTTCCTTTATCCCCTCTGTAGCACACAAAATGTTGTTAATCTGAGACATCTGACTTCCTTCTACCCAAGGAGAATAAAAACCAAAACAGCAACTCTGTGTAACCTGGTTCCTTGGCTCAGAATGATCCATTCACAATGACCTCATATTCAGCTTGAGGTCAAAATAAGGAAAGTTGACTGGGAGAAACAATAAAGAAGCTGGATCAGTATTTAATTTCTCCTGAGTCAGAGTCTCACACTATCATTTTATTTTACTCTTTTATATAAAACATTAAATAATCTTATGTTAGCTAATGTGATAGGCAGAATAATGGCCCCTCAAAGATGTGCACATTCTAATTCATGGAAGCTGTGAATATATTACTTTATATGATAAAAAAGACCACGGATATGATTAAGGTTAAGATCTTGAAAATCAGAGATTGATTGGATTATCTATCTTTTTGAGACAAGACTCTCAAAAACTAGTTAACAAATGAAGATAATAGGTCAGGGGGATGGATTATGAGACCTCAATCCCCCAAACTGGTGCATTGAAAATGGAAAGAGAGAAGGAGGACCCAAGGGATATGGTGACCACTAAACTATGAAAAGTTCTCAGCTTACTAATGGTAGGAAAACTAGAATCTTCAAAAACTGAATTTCGCTAATAACCTCAGTAAGTGACAGATCCTTCCCTGGACACCTCACTCAGGAAGACATACAACCCAACCAACACCTAGACTTTAGCCTAAGGCCAGACTTTTGGCATGTACAGCTGTAAAACCATAAATTTGTAGTAGTCAAACTGCTAAGTTTATGGTTGTTACAGCAGCAAATGAAAATGAATATACGCAGATATAAGAATACTGCAAAGTTATACATAGTAATACAAAGTCATATCTTAAAAATCAAAGATTATATATTGTTACATAGATTTGCTGATATCATTATCTTTTTCATTTCTCCATTTAAAACATCATCAATTCTAGAAAATTAAGGGATAATTACATCTTCAAATTGAAACTACTTTTAAATTTGTCATGGAATACTTGGTAGCCCATTGGAACTTTTAAATCTGACTGACAGAATTTATACAGACTGGCATGCTGGGTCCCTAGTACTACGAATTTCTACTGTTTCTGTACTAAATGCATCACTGATGTTGCTAGAGCAGAAGAAAAACATGAAGTCACTTCATATAAGAAGCGACATTTCTTAAGGTATTTGTAACTATACATAGCATACAGTGAACTTGACCCTTGATTTTACCTTGAATGCCTAAAATGAAAAATATTAAAAATCTCATAGTGTAAAAAAAAAAAACCTTAAACTTCCCAAGTGTAAGAACTATGAAGTTCTTTGTATCAATCTCTGACTTTAATACTTGGATACAAGGAGCCAATTCTTCTTGAAAATAAGAAACATTACTATAACATGGATAACATCACAAAAATGCATCATTTACTTTTAAAGATAAAAAATATTACTTTTAAGTGTTTTCCTTTGGCATAATTCTAGCCATGATGGCTCCTTTGAGTGTCTTAATGAAAAAGCTTTTATAAACACAAACCATTTTCCTCCTTTTTAAAATTTAGAGTCTTATTGGTTCTAGTGTGTGATTAATACTTTTAAAAAACTGAGTCTCAGACAGATATGTCCTTTTGAGAAGTTTCTATTATCACTGTATCAGTAGAAAAACAACTTAGGCTTCTAAAAAGACAAAACGCCATAAGGAAAATGTTTATATTATAAGAAGTATAAAGCAAGCTTAGAGTGTTTAAGGACAAGTAGAAAAAGTCAATACAGTACTATGAATCTGATGAAAGGAAAAATACAGAAGAAACATTATTTTTTCAGTAGGACTTTCTATAGTCAAATTATCTATTTAATAATAATTTACCCAAGTTTAGGGTATCTCAAGATTATAAGTCAGAGACATAAGGCAACCAAGGAAAGGTGCTAGCCAGGGCCTAAAGGAAGGAAACTATTCAGAGCAGAAAGGCTGGCCGGGGAATGGGGCTTGGTGCTAGGGCACTTGTCTGGCGTGTCCAAGGCTCTACGTTCCATGTGCCAGTGGGAGGGGGCTAATGAAACTAACAGCACTAGATGTAGAGAGGTGAACTACTTCTCATCTAAGCCGTTATGAATTTAAAATGTCATCCACAGGTCTAGCTATCTCTAGATATTAAAATTTAGCACTTAAAAATGTAACTTCAGGGGCTTTTATTATAACATGATAAAACAGTTTATATCACACAACGTATCTAGGGTAAAAACAAAAAAAAAGGGTTAAAACCAAAAAAATCTGTTAACAGGAACAAAAACCAACCAGGTCAGCCAGAGCCCAAGGGGGAAAAATTCTGCAGCCAGGGAAGAATGGCAGGACTCCCTTGTGTCAGTGAACGTTCACTCAGTGAACATGGAACACAGGGCGAGCTGCAGCTGGGGCTTGGGAAATGTCAATGGGACAGGAAGATGAAACTAGGTCTTGAGGTGCCAGAAGCCTGACAAGGAAAAATAAGGGAGAAATTAACCAAAATATCTGTTATTTGCTAATTGCTAAGATGAACATTTGCTGGGTGAAACAGCTGGAAACCAGGGTCTCAGAAACTAAATGGCTGCCAAGTATTTCAGAAATCCCAATGATAGTCGGGAGACAAGAGATTGGAATTCAGGTAAATAAGAACAAAGAATATTTGCTGTTTCTTATGTAGAAGGAAAACAATTCTAGGTGAAAAATAGTAATGTAAGGAGGAGCAAACAGTAATGGGTAAATCCATGATTAAATGTTAAATGATACTACTTATTTAAAACAAAAAGATTGCAGGGCTCCATTGCTCATAAATGTGATCCTAGATACTCGGAAGTTAAGGCAGCAATCACAAGTTTAAGGCGAGCTTGGGCAACTTAGCAAGATGTTGTCTCAAATAAGAAAAAAAGTGGGGAAGGGTGTGTGCTCAGTAGTAGAGCACTCAATCAACAGTACACTGAAAATAATAACGACATATGCTTTAAAATGAATGCGAAATTGTAAAATTAAAATATGTAGTATATAAAAGAGAAAGGGGTGCTATAAATTGCACTGTCAGAGAAGTGAATAACTTAAATTATTTTATCATTTCTACAAGATGAAGTGGCTCTAAGCTAAGGGTACACATTGTTAACCACTAAGAGAATAATGAAAACATATTTAACAAGCTGACCTGAGGGGACAATGGATAAGAAAACAATTATAAAGAAAGTGAAAACTATAAAGAAAGTGAAAACTAAAGTATCAAGGAATAGATGTCACAAACAGCATGACAGATTTAAGCCTAAATAAGAAATCAGAGACAATTTACATGAATCAAATATTCCAATTAAAAGTTAGTTATCCAAAAACAACAAAACAAAAAACACCAAAATGGGCCGGGGATTTAGCTCAGCGGTTCGGTGGCCTGCCTTGCAAGTGCAAGGACCTGAATTCAAATCTTAGTACCAAAAAAAAAAAGTTAGTTATTATGTACAACTGATAATAAAATAAAGTCATCCATTTAAATGCATGTCCTTGGAAGACTTAGGAGAGTGGAAAAAAAAAAAACACATGATTCAACTGTATCAAAAAAGTATGCTGGTGGGCTGGGGATGCAGCTCAGTGGCATCACGTCTGCCTTGCAAACCTGCAAGGTCCTGAGTTTGATCCCCAGGGCATGTGTGTCTCTGTGTGTACTGGTTTATCTCATTATAAAGAGGGTATTTTAGTATGATAAAATGACCTTTGGACAGAAGGAAATAACAAGCTGTACATATCCAATAACACAGCCACAAAATGTATAAAGCAAAAAATAGAAGAAACCAAAAGGGAAAATAAACAATCTATAATGATGATTTGGTTAAGAGATTTTAGCATAGATCTCTCAGTAATTTATAGAATAAGTAAAAAAAAGTAAGAATGTAGAATGTTGAAAAACTGTTCTGCAGAGTAAAGCTATGCTAGAAATCAATGATATAGCATGCTTAGAAAATTCCTTAAATATTTAGAAATTGAGTAATATAAAAAAACATGAATGAGAGAAAAAACTCAAATAGATATTAGAATATATTTTAATTGAATTAAACTGGGAATGTGAACTTGAGGTATGGAATATACCCAGAGCAGTATAAAGAGTAACATATCTTTAAACTACAAATAGTAAAATATAAAATGGTAAAATTTAAAAATTTAGGTTATCTATATAAAGAGGCTAAGGCAAGACAGAAATTACACCGAAAGAAAAGGAATTAAAATGAAAAAAGCAGAAACAAAAAATTAAAAAAAGAAAAATCAGCAACAGCTACTGTTTATTTGAAAAGATTAATATAATCAATAAATCCCCAGAAAGAAAAGATAAATTACTAATAACAAGAATAAAGAAAGTTTTTCATTAAAGGTACTATAATTATCAGCCAGGCGTGGTTGTGCACGCCTGTAATCCCAGCACTCAGGAGGCTGAGGCCGGAGGATCGCTGTGAGTTCGAGACCAGCCTGGGCTACATAGTGAGTTCCAGGTCAGTCTCGACTACATAGTGAGACACTGTCTCAAACCCCCGCCCAATCTTTCATTTAACTTTTCTCTTACTTAAATTCCCAAAGAGTAGCAAGATAGGTTGGAAAGAAAATTTACTCTGTAGCTAGGTAAATCTGATTTTAAACTATAGTTTTAAGTATCAAAGAAATTCACTGAGCTGTTCATTACAGCCTGCACACTTCAGGTGTAATACTTCAATAAAAGTAGCTTACAAAGACAATTCACCTTAAATTAAAAAAAAATCAACGAAGGCTTTAAAATCAACTCAATTTGATGTCAGCTTTATGTTAATTTTAACTAATGTATTATATTTCAACAAACTACTGAAAAAAACATAGAACCATGCTGGGGATTTAGCTCAGTGGTTGTGCCTCGCAAGCACAAGGACCTGAGTTCAATCCCTGGTACCAAAAAAATAAAAAAGTAAAAAACAAACCACTACTCTGAGGATTACACAAACAAAACACACAGGCAAGATAATTCAAGTGTAGAAAAAAAATCTTACACTTCCTAAGCGATCTATTATATTATACTTTGGGTGCAGAAAGGATATAATAACAGAACAGAAAACCTAGTTAAGGGGATTCCAAAATATGAGAATTGAGCAGCACATGCAGCACACTAAGGCTATACTGACTACAGGAAACAATGAGAACAAAATTACTCAGAGGTAATGATGGTTCAATGCCCTTGATCACTTCCTAGATAAACCGTTCTATAAAATTATTACTTAATTTTACTCTGTATCAACATTTATCAATTTTCCTTCTGGATTAAGAAATTCAGCAACTCTCTTCTGGATCAGGTCATTCTATCCAACAGACATTAAAGTCTCATTCTGTAGAAAGTGAATAAGCTAATAGTTTGGTTAATATATTTATGATGAAATATACAGAATACCTATAATTCTCATACACGGACAAAATTGAGTTTGTTGATCTATACATCTTAAAAATGAACCTGGGCACAGCAGTCTTGCAACAGCCACTGTGTGAAGTCTTAATATTTTAGGAGTTGGCAAACTGTATATTACAAGCAAACTTCAGTTTTCCACCTGTACTGCATTTGTCAATAGTTTTATTGGATGGAATACAGCTCATTGTTCATAGGTTGTCTATGTTGATTTCATGCAACAGCAGCAGATCAAGCCCCTGACTGAGACTGGTTCACACAGTCCAAAATATTTACTATCTGGCCCTTTACAAATGTTTGCTGACCCGTGCTTTAGACTATTTCTCTTCGTTCTGTAACAATAGTCTGTCTTATTCTATACTAGAGCTAATTACTCTCAGTTTTCTGAGTTTTCAAAGAGCACAAAGATTTATCTCTAATTCCAATTATGTGTGATACATCCAGAGATGTAAATCTATATATAAACAAATACATACATAAATATATATATTTTTATATAAATATTTTTTTCTTTGGTTTTTTCAGACAGGGTCTCACTATCAGGCCTTAAACTCACTATGTAGCCCAGGCTGACCTCAAACTCATCACGACCTTTCTGCCTCAGCTCCTGAGTGCAGGGACTATAGGAATTCAGCAGGAATTCTATATTGTTATTGGTCACAAATCAATTGTAGTATAACAAATAAATGTTTTCAAAAATTTTAATGCCATTTAATCAACATTATTAAATAACTCCTCTAGAATAATTCCTGAAATATTATAATTCTTAAATCATCAATGGTCTCAAATTAACTTCCTATGAGTCTGTCATCTCTTTCCACTTGTAAGTTGTTAGGCTCCTACTTTTAAATGATGTGGAAAATAGCGCTTAGTTTGCTCATTTTATACTTCCACATATGTGCACCAAATTACAACTTTTTCATTTGGAGAAAGGTATAATTTTGCTTTTAATAACTGTACTGCATCGATAATAAATTTTTATAAGATCCTAATGAGATAATTGACAATGTGGAATAGGAAGAAAAGGGCTAAAGGTGTAGGGAAAGTGGGAAGGGTAGGGGAAAGGGAATAAGGGGAAAGAAAAAAAATATGAGAAAATGAAGAAAGGGAAATGAAGTGTTTGTAAAGGGGGAGGGGAGGAGGGGTGAAGGGAGGGCAGGGACAAGGGGAGAAATGAGAACCAGGACCTGTCACGTAAAGGTACAAGGTCCTAATAATGAATGTAACTGTACTGTATACTTAAAATGTACCAATAAATTCAATGAGGAAAAAAAAATTTTTTTAAATAATAAATTTTTACTGTAACTCTTTGGTACTTTAAATTGAGAAATTCAGTTATTTGACATTTTAATATTTGTGAAATCAATAATGTTCACCCTCTGAATAGCAGCTTATAAAATCCAAAGTGAATATAAAACAAAGCACTTATAACTGTACAAGAAAGGTTCTTTCTTTAAAAAAGAAATTTTTGAAAACTGTTAATTTATATGTGAAGGCAAAAAAGACTAAGACAAAAATCCAACATAGTCTATGTTTCAAAACGTAATTGCTTTCCAGAAAGGGAAAAAAGGGAAGAGTTAGTGAAAATTTCTGGAATGTATTCAACATTAATTACCTATAAATCATGACTGGCTGTGCCAAAGGACAACTATAAATGGTGACTTGGTAAATGACAAAAAGGGCACATCTGCATTACGCTTTTAAAAGAGAAGAATAAACAAGAAACAGAAAATTAAAACCTAGGAAAGGCCTTCAGAAAACGAAATAAAGAACAGCTGGAGGGCCGGGGGTTTAGCTCAGCGGTTCGGTAGCCTGCCTCGCAAGGGCAAGGACCCGAGTTCAATCCCTGGTACCAAAAAAAAAAAAAAAAAAAAAAACAATTGGAAAACACTCAGAAAAGCAGAAAATAAGTACTAGAAATTTAGTAAATTCCCTATGTAGAAACAGTTTCCAAATTCTAAAAAGTGATACTCAAAGCTACTGCAACTTTCCGGCAATACTGAGAGGGAGCCCAGAGTCTTCCCACGGAGCTACTTCCCCTACAGTCCCACCCCTCTATTTTTGAGACAAGGTCTTTTTAAGCTATTGGGATGCTGAAGCTAGCCTGAGTTTGTGAGTCTCCTGCCTCAGCCTCCAGGGTAGCTGGGATTTCAGGTGCGAGCCACCGTGCCCAGCATGAGAACAAATCTTTTTGCTTTGTTTTGGTACTGGGAATTGAATTTAGGACGCTGTGCTTGCCAGGCATGCGCGGTGCCACTGAGCTAAATTCCCAGCCCTTGAGTACAAATCTTAACAGTGAAAAATATTCATCCAAGAACAACATATATGGACACATTTTACTCCTGAATAATTATACAAAACTTTTATAAAATACTGAAAGAGTTTTACCTGAATGTGTCCGAAAATGCATTTCCAGACTTGATTTTCCTTTAAAAATTTTCTTACAAACATCACATTGATGAAATGTTGCTTTATATCTAAGAAAACAAATATTTTATTTTTCAATATAACTTTAATAACAATGAAAATAATTTACATCTTTATACACAACTGTATATATAATTACGTTACTAAGGCATAGAACTCTGAAGAAACACGAATATGTTAAGTATCAATATTGCCTCTTAATTCTTCCTCTTCCTGTTATAGACATCAACCAAATCTATAAAAAGATATCTTTAAATGTTTAACTGCTTCAAACTGCTGAGCTTTTATTATTATCAGCCATGAAATATATAAAAGACAGTTATAGGGACAAAACAGATCAACAGTGGGCCAAAGAGGAAAGGAAGTGCTGGCTACCCAAGTAGCACTAAAAGCAGCAGCAGAATTCTTGCAGTGGTAGAACTCTTCTACATTTCCATGGTGGCCATTGTAAGTGTAAAACTACATGCTAAAAAGACTAAATTCGATCTATATAAATAGATACTATGGACGATTAAAAAGAAATTGCAATAATTTCAAAATCAACATTCACAAAAGAGCTGATACTGCTCTGCAGAAAAAAAAAATCATGATAAAGGCCCTAAAGAAACTAGGTACAGAAAGATCATATTTTAACACAATGAAAGTTATCTATATGATAAACCTATAGCCACCATCATACTAAGTGGAGAAAAACTGAAAGCATCTCCTCTAAAACTAGGAATGAGAATAGGATATCTTTTGTTTCCATTTCTATTCAATATAGCACTTGAAATTTCAGCTAGAGCAATTAGGCAAGAAAAAAGGATGCAAAGAGAACAAAGTTAAGTTATTCTGATTTGTAGATGAGATGATCCTATACTTAAAAGACCCTAAAGACGCAAGCAAAACTTTTAGATATGATAAACAAATTCATCAAAATAGCAGAAAATGAAAATAAAAATTAATAGCTTTTCTATACACCAATAATGTGCTACTCACTAAGAAAAAAATCTAAAAAACATTCCATTCAGAATAGTTTAAAAAAAAAGAAATATCTAAAAATTAATATGACCAAAAGTATTAAGCCCTCAATAATGAAAACTACAGAATACTGAAGAAAGAACAGGAAGAAGACAATACAAAATGGAAAGACCATCTATGTTCAAGGACTGGCAGAATTAACATTGTTAAAATGGACACATTACTGAAAGCAGTCTATGGATTCAATGAAAAGACCTAGGTATAAGATCTGAAACTCTGAAACTGCTAGACTAAAACATGGGAGAAAACACATGAAGTGACTGGCACAGACAAAGACTGAGATTGCATTAAATTAAAAAGTATCTGTACAGCAGAGTAAACAATGAACAGACCAATGAGACAACTACAGAATGGGAGAAAATCTTTCTTAGCTATTCTTCCAACAGAGGATCAGTACAGAACAATAACAAGATCTAAACAGGGCCAGGGATTTGGCTCAGTGGTTCCACCACCTGCTTCAAAAGCGTAAGGTCCCGAGTTTGAGCCCCAGTACAAAACAACAACAACAAAAAAAAACAAAACAAAACGAAAAACAAACAAAACAAAACCAAAAACAAACAATATCTAAACAAGTAAAATACTTTTACTCCAAAAGAACAAATATTCTAATAAAAAAAGCAAATGAACTCAACAAACACTTTAAAAAATATATACATAGCCAATAATGACATGAAAAAATGTTCAACATTTTTGATTGTCAGAGAATGACATATCAAAATTATACTGAGATTTCATCCCATCCCCATTTGAGCGGCTATCAACAGAATATAAAAAACAATATCTGTTGGCCAATATGTGTATGGGAAAAATGAATCCTTACACACTGTTGGTGGGAATGTAAATTACTAGTGTTACTATGGAAATCAGTAGGAAGTTTTCTCAAAAAACTAAAAATGAAATTACCACATGATCTAGCTATACCACTCCTTGATATATATCTATGTTTACTGCAGCACAATCCACAATGGCCAAGGTATGAAATCAGTCCAAGGACCCTTCAATGAAGGAATGGATAAAGAAAATGCTACACAAACACATACGCACATACACACACACACACATGCACACACACAAAATGGAGCATTATTCAGCCATAAAGACAAAACAGTGTCTTTTGCAGGAAAATAGAGAGCATAACAATAACTAAAATAGATGCAGAAAGACAAGTTTCATGTTTCCCCAAATATGTGGAATTTAGAAAAACAGGTGACATAAAAATAGGAGGGAGACTATTAGACAAGATGAAGGGGATTGAGGGAGGGGAAAAGGTGAGCAAGGGAGGGTAACGGGGAGACGTCTATGATCAAAATGTTATATGAAAATTCCAAAATGAAACCTGATATTTTGTAAATTTCATATGCATTAATAAAAACACACATAGGAAAAAAGTTGATATTGTTCTCATCAACTCACTTCTCAACAGGTATTTAATATTTGAACTTAGGAATAAAATAACACCTAAATAAAAAGGAAATATTAGTCCTCTGTTTTTATTATAAATAGAATACATAAAGTGAATTAGTAAGCAACAGTGTAGTGTTAAAGAAGTACTTCTGAGTTAATCTCAAATTCAAACTTTAATTGTAAGGACTATGATATATGCTTTTAGACAAAAAACAATGTCTACCACATCCTACTCTTTAAGTGAAAACAAGTAGGAAAAATATGCTTTTAGTTCTGTAAAGTGCTACGGAAACTAGAGAAAGAGTTAACCCATCCCCAATTAAACAAAACAAACAAAAAAGTTGTAAATTTTCTCCACTAGATACTCAGCCAATGTACTAAATTTAAGAAATTTTGCTTTTCCACTTACTTTTGCCACACTTTTTCTCCAAGGTGCACACTTTTGTAATGAACAGTGAGATGATCCCTCCGACCAAAACATTTTCCACATTCTTCACACTGATGAGCCTTTTCACCTAAAAATAAAGACCCAAATATTTTGATTATAGTAGGCATTTTAGTTTTTTTTTTTTCAACAAAAACAAAGGACCAAACTGGAACATCATATAGCGGCAAATACACCAGGTAAGTAAAGCTATTTTTTATATTCTAGGCTATTCTCTTTATGTTCCTTATTTAGGTATCTTTCCTTTAAGAATCTAGGCTTAATTTCATAGATGTAAATCTTTTCCCTACTGGCAAAAAATTAGTGGCCTTCTCCTGCAGACATCCAATCTTACCTTTCAATGTAACAAAGTAAGATAAATGAAATCACTTCAAAATTCAGGATTTTTTTTAGAACTGTATATCTGGACATGAAATACTTCAAATAAACATTGATCGGATAGAGATGAGTCTGTTTTACTGTTTGAAAAAAAGGACCTGAACGTTTTCAGATCTTTGTACCTTGCTTTTAAAAGATTTTCACTTATGGGGATTTCTCACATTTGCAATGAGCCAAAAACACAAATACAATAGAAAATTCTACACAAATCTCTATTTTTAATTTGAGTTACAAAGGCTTGATCTTTAAAAATCACTCTCAATACCAGTGTGCAATTAACACATGTGACTAGAATTAGGAATTTAGAATTCTTTTCCTAGAAATGAAAATGCATTTACTTCAGTGAAAACAGCCACTAGATGTGTAGCATGCCTTAAAAGTGACAATAACAACTGTAACTTGCTTGAGATCATTTAAGATTATATGCTGCATACTGTATACTACAATTATGTTTATAATAATAATAATAATCACCTGTTCTACTGTGCTCATAGAGATGCTCTTTCCCATTATTGTGCTCACATAGTTGGCTCTCTTAGCACTTCCTGAACATCAATCTGAGAGGAAAATATGAAAGAAATCCCCAGAATATAAAAATTATATACACAGTATAAAGATCTGAAATTGATCAGGATTATTAAGATTCTAATTTCCAATGATAGGGTTTCAAAATTCATTACAACATAAACTTCAGTACCCAATTATAGTTATTTCTCTTTAAACACCGAAGTTTCACTAATTTCTCAAACACAAACAAAATCAGATTAGGATGGTGTTTTCCTTTAGGGAAGTATCAATAGTAATTATTACACATATTCATATAATACGAAAATTGCTGATTTTGAGAATTTGTTTAAAATTGAACTTTATACATCAGAGTCACAAAAGGTGATCAAATTATGAAAATTGCACTGAACGTGTCATAAAATTATTTCCTTTTCAGATGCTTTTTCAGGAAAGTTTTTGAACCAGCATTACAAAGAAGTGATCAAAATATTCCAAATTATTAAAACGATAGCCAACAACATAAACCTGATGTAACACTAGTCTTTTTCAGGTGATTTAAAAAGGATTTTGAAACTAGCAATACAAAATACAGCTTGGGCTGGGGAGTTAGCTCAGCGGTTCGGTGGCCTGCCTTGTAACTGCAAGGACCCAAGTTCAATCCCCGGTACCAAAAAAACCAAAACAAAATACAGCTTACCTGAATGTATTTTTTTGTGCTTAGTAAGGTGGTCATGACGAATGAATGTTTTTCCACATTCATCACATTCATATCTTTTATCATCATGATGCACTCGTAAGTGAAGTCTGTGAGAAAAAAAAACTGGTAACTATTCAAACTCAGTAACCAGAAGAAAAATGCTTCATAATGAATGAATGATAAATACACAAAAACCGGTCTGTCTACTCAACCATTCTCGTACATCATTTGCTTTGTATGTATGACTTTCAGAGTCCTTGCCAGTGTTTTATCAATCAATCCCAAGGTTACTATTCATCTCTTCCAAAAAAGTCCTTTAATATTTGCCATGCTCATTGTACTTCTGGATAATACTTCTCAACTTGATAAGCTCTCAGTCTATGCACTTCACTGAATCTAGCGAATGTAATGGTAATTCTTTATCTGACTGGCCACGTCCCAGAGATATAAAAATAGGTACATTTCAGGAATTAGAATCAGACAAATGAGGTTAAGTGTATAAGTGATTAAGCACATGATTATGATAATAAATGACAGGGAAGATAACTGAGGATTAACACTACTCTGGACAACTGATAGCACTTACAATTGATAGTTGAACATTTTATTCTAGAGGACCTCAACAAATTATGAAAATTACATTTTACCACTTTCCACACATCAATTAAACAAAATGGGGCCCATTTTATAGGCACTGTAGATTATTAAAGATTTAGATTAAAATTCATATAACTTGAATCATTTTTATTCCTGCAGCCTCTGTACACATATATATTCTAGTGAAAAGAATAGTTTTTCCATTTCAAGTTACCAAAACAGGTGTTGATTCTACACAAAAATTAGTAAATTGACTAGACTACATCTAAAGGGAAAACATTCTCTTTAAACTTAGAAGTAATAAATAAAAATACAAATATTAAAGCCTTAAGACTAAGATTCTAAGCCTAGTGTGATGGTGCATGGCCATAATCCCAGCTACTTAAGAGGCTGAGGTGAGGTTCACAAATTGGAGGGCAGCTGGAGCAATTTAGTGGGACCCTGTCTCAAAGTTTCTAAAAAATGGGTAGGAACATAGCACGCCAGTAGATGCTTGGCTAGTGGGTGTATGTGAGCCTGGGTTTAATCTCCAGTACTGGAAAAGTTTAAAAAGTTAAAATTCTAAAGAGCATTAATAAAAATTAAAATTATATACACATTTCACAATAAGAGGTTACGTATTTGGGAAAAAAAATTTTACAAACTATAATATGGTCAGAGTCAGCCATTAAAACAATTAAATAATTAAGAATGCCCAGAAGACTTTGTAGAATTGAGAATTCTAGAGCTTTTATTTTGTTTTGTTTTCCCACCGGTACCAAGGATCAAACTCAGGACTTTGTGCTTGCAAGGCAGACACAGTGCCACTGAGTTAAATCCCTGGCCCGAGAATTCTAAAGTTTTTAATCTTGGTGTATTTGTCATACTAAAAATATCCTTTTAAAATAAGGAATTAAAAAAATACACCAAGTTTGGAACACCAGAATTTTAATAAACTTTCAAAGAAAAAAATTAAAAAGAAATTTCAGTAATAACTTAGTAAATCTTTCGGTAAACTTGATAATGAAATATTCAATATCTTATATACAGAACAATGTTAAGATATATAGAGAAATCCATTCAGTAAGGTTTTCTTTGCACAACTGTTCATATAATAAGGTTTAAGAAATATCTTAATTCAACACAAAAAAGTAATAGGAAAAGAGAACTAAAATGGAGATTCAATTTTCTCTTAATATAAGGGAAAATGGCTTTCTTACCTGTATGAACTTCCATGCCGAAAACTTTGCCCACAGATACTACAAAGATGAGGCTTTTCTCCACTGTGGATTCTCAAGTGTTCTTTTAAAGTAGTTCTGTGTTAAAAATACATATATTTAAAATTCTTTTAACACTAATGCATATACTTTGCACACATTTCCAGAAAGCTTATTTGAAAGAGATATTATGGCAATTCTTCACCCTTTCTCCTTCAATATTTTTGCTCTTTCTAGGGTTATTTTCACTAAACAACACAGTTATTATGCTTCTATCTTTAAAAAAAATTAAAATAAAGCAAAAGCTTCGGCCTCCTTTGCCACTGGTTTGCTTACAAATAAGCAAACTTTGGAAACAAATAAAAAGCTCAATTATTACTGAATTAGGCAAAAATGATGTGGATTTTGGTCAGCAGTGCTTAATAGTATTTTCGAGTCCAGTTTATCCCGAATGTGTGCTCGACTTTTTAAAAAATGTCTTAAAATTTAAGACATTACAAATATCTGTAGCTTTTTGGTGTGGAAGTGCAAGAGCAACCTACAGAAAGGATGTATTTGCTCTGCCGAAGTCATTTTAGCCAGCTGACCCTGGACGGGTTACTGCAGTGATCACTATTCCACACACATCACGGACAACCTCTAACTTGTGGGGCCTCCCCGCATACTGAAGTGCTGAGTGGAAACCAAACTTTTTAAATATGACTGACCTTTGAAGGCTTTTAGCTATAACTGTCACAGGGTTTTTATTTCATTCCCCTACCAAGCGAGTTTAAGGGCTAAGAAATGAAAGCAGAGCTCTGCCAGCAGAGGGTGCTCTTCTCCAAGGTTCACCGACACTTAACAAGCGCCAGTTTTATTTATAAACATTTGTGTGGAAAACACTCCTAAAAAGGCACAAAACAGATTCAGAGTTCCTTTGGGAGAAGTTTTACAGAGTGAAAGCTGTGTCATGGAATAAGAAAATATAACCTGTGAAAGAAATTACTAAATTTTATGTCATTTTCTGACTTGTCCTACATTGCTCATTAATCGCCTTAAAAACAGCAAGCAGGCCATCTTTTTAGACAGAAGTCATCATAACAGTATATTTCACCTGTCTACCTTTTAACTGGCTCCATTTTATGAACAATAAATTCACCAAAACCCTTGGCTGAAAAAAACTATATTCCTAGGCCTCCTACTAAGTCGTTAAAGTAAAAACATGAAATGGTCATTTTTATTTGAGTTTTTGAATTGTTTGCTTTTTGTTTTTACACAGAACACTATATAGGAAAAAAGAAGTTTATAATCCATGTAGTAAACTACATAATTTTCTAATCTGTAACTATGATTTCGTTGTATATAGTGTACTAATTCTCCCATTCCTCCATCATAACCATCTATTAAATAAATTTGTTATGAAACTTTTGTGTACTGAAGAGTCTATAAAATGTATATGTACTATAAAGAGTAATATTAAACAAATATATATATTAAGAATTGGAAAATGACTAGTACCCTAAAATACCTCCACATACTTCTCCTAAATCTCATTCTTCTCCTTCCTCAGAAATAATCATATATACTAAGCATTCCCTTTTTTTTGTTCTACTATATACATATAGGTGTGTGTGTGTGTGTGTGTGTGTGTGTGTGTATGTGTGTGTCTGAAAAATACAGTGTATGCTTCTGAAAAGTTGAATAGCAAGCACAAACCTTATAGTATTGCCATTATTAAGTACTAAAAGGCAGAAAATAGTAATATGATCTCCAGATCAAAGTCCAGCTGGAGTTTGAGGGTTCCCTAGCTTCTAAAACTTCAGGAGTTTCGACTCCAGTGCTCCTTTTTTGGCATTCCTTCAATGGAGTTCCAGGGGCATCTGCTCCCATACCTTGTGCGGATTCTGTAACTAGGTTCTTGGTATTTCCTCATTGTCACTTTGGAATTTGTCTTTCTTATATTTACTAAGTCAGTTACCACTGATTCATCTGCTTTATGGCTTTCAAACCCTTGCAGTCTTGACACCTATTTTTTCTATTTTTTAAAAACAAAACTTTAATGAATATTTAATTGGATTAGAGATCAAATGACATGTCAACCATCTAAAGCTGCAAATCCTGTTCCATATCATCTTCTGTAGTGTATATAATTTCTTCTTTCATCTTTATATTTTAAATTAATGTATACTTCAGGTATTGCGTCTTTAATTACTGTATCCATTCACATGCCATATTTATAATTATTTCTACATAAATGTGCTAAAATTTTTCTGGTTTTAGAAATAATTCGTCACCTTTCTCGTACTGATTTCCCACAAATGAAGCAAGTCCATTTTCTCTTTCCACCATGAGTACATTCTATATGACGTTTCAAATTTCCAGTGTCATTGAACTGCCGACCACATATATCACATGGAAAAGGACCTAAAAGAAAAAGGAAAACAAGAACAGTGTGCATTTAAAGTTAAAGCTCAATACTGAGGTAAACAATAGATTTGCTATACATTTATGCCAACTAACATTAAGGTATATGTATCATAATACACTGCATTTATTGACTTGTAGTTTTCTCTCCCCTTCAGATTATTTCTAGAAGTCAGTTAACTATAATCTTTAGGCCTCTAGAGCCATGTATAGGGCTGGCATGTAACAGACATATAACAAATGCCGAATAAACTACTAAATTATAAATTGCAATGGCCAACTCCTACTCTGAAATCAGGCTGAAACAAAGCAGAAAATACTATATACTCTCTATGAAGAGGAGGTGAAACCTTGAAAAAATGAAAAGAATAACAGAACTTATATCCTGGAAATACACATGGAGTGATATGGTGAAGGTTTAAATTTTAAAAAATTATTACACTAAAGACACACTGGCATCAATCACCCTCAAAACACTTCCCTTGTTCCAGACTTACCCCATAGTTCTTGTCACTTTCTGAAGGAAGCCTTCCTTGGTAAGTGTCTTTAGTGGTACTGCCACGGCTGCCTCAGTGCCATGAACTGATTTAAAACGTTTACCTTCCGCGGTCGGATCCACTGCATGAGGTGGATGGAGACACACCACAAAGCCTGCCAGTCTGTTGGGTGGCACTCAACAGCAGCAGTCACTGCAGATTCATGAAGCAGGAAAGTGGCAAGAATGCCGGGACAAATGTGCTCAAAGGGACGGAGAGTATTGTGAGGGGGAATCAACGGCAGTGTGTCTTTTACTGGAATAAATTGTTTAAAATTTAAACATTTACTATGTCGTTTGATTACACTGCATACTGCTGCCATGACCACGAGTTTTTAGTGATATTGAGTAGAGTGACAATACTGCACCACATTTTTGTTTAATCTTACAAAATTAAACCAAATTTCTCATAGTAATATGATCTTAGCTGGATTCTGAATTTCACCATGATTTTACCAAGTAAACGAGTGGAAAGAATAAGTTTTATTGAATAGCAAACGAAAGGAATAACTGAAAAGAAACACAGAAGATAGACCTCAAGAAGACATACATTCGGAAGATGTCTCAAAATTTGAAAGAAGAAGCTAATGAAGAAGTTGTAATGAATTAAACATAATAGCACAATTTGGACACTGGCATTCACAAACTTATCTACAGGCAAAATTGTTCAGTAGCCTTGGGAAAATTTCAATATTTTTATATATTAGAAATGAGAGATGACCTCAAAAATCTACGTTGTGGGGCTGGGGATTTAGCTCAGCGGTTCGGTGGCCTGCCTTGCAAGCGCAAGGACCCGAGTTCGATTAAATCTAAAATCTACGTTGTGGGGCTGGGGATTTAGCTCAGCGGTTCGGTGGCCTGCCTTGCAAGCGCAAGGACCCGAGTTCGATCCCCGGTAAAAACAAAAACAAACAAACAAAAAAAACTACATTGTATCTAGCATCTATAACATTCTTAATTTCTAATATATATATTTTCCATGTGATATGAATCTTTTCCTCACTTTTTAACTCATTCAACAAGTACATATTAATTCATATCTACTGTTGTGCTTAGTACAGTGTTATTAAAAATTTCTCCACTCTCCCTGTGCCTACATAGTACAAAAGGATCCAAGAAGTTGACAAAAGGAGAGAATTTGTATAGGTGAAAATCACACAATTAAGTTTATAAAAGACACAAAATGAGCATTCATCATATTTTCCTGTAACTTTTATTTAAAAATATATCATTCCTGTCTTAGGCTAAGCTGGTAGGATAAAATACTGATAAAGCTGATACTTTGTCACAAGTCATACCAAATGTGGCCAAGGTAAAAACCAAAAGAAGAAAAAAGAGACAAATTAAAGTGACAAATTCATAGTGATTTCAACCTGCACTTCTCAAAACACCATAATCCTTCCCAGAATTGTGAAAATTCTAATTTATAAGCATATACACACCAAATAAACTAGAATTTTCATATATATTTCTTTAAATATGGAAAGAAGCCAAAAAAATTTTTTTAAAAGCTATACTGATAAGTTTAGTGTCCCCACGATCCAATCACCCCTCTTGGAATGTCTAAGAAAACTAGCAAAACCACCAGCCTCAGTCTCTTCAATTTCCCCTCCTGGTTTGTAATCTTTGAGTCTTCATTATGACTGGAGTTGACTACACCAGTGCCTAACTTTTTTTCTAGATTCACTCAAGTGTGTTCTTTCTCAGAAACTCCTTCCTGCTTCTCATCAAGAAACCAACCTTTATTTTCTTTTCTTGTGACACACAGAGCCTACCTCTCTGTGTGTCACACAACTCAGAGCCTCCATTTGTAATGGAGTAAGTTTTTTAAATCTATCTTCTCAGACATGCTTTGTTCTTTAAAGGTTAAAAATGTCGATCCTTTTATACATTTATTTTAGTAGCTTTGGAGGAGAGATGGTGGTTTCTTATAAAGTAAATATACTCCTACCATCTACTAGTGCCTTCATACACCTAGGCATTTACCTAAGGAGCTGAAAATTTGTGTCCATATAAAAACTTGCATTATATGTTTATAACAGTTTTTTTTTATAAGCACCAAAACTTGGACGTTCATCAACTGTAACAAATACACCACTCTGGGGCTGAGCATTTAGCTCAATGGCACTGCACCTGCCTGCAAGCGCAAGGTCCTGAGTTCGATTCTCAGTACTGAAAAAAAAAATCCACTCTGATTGTGGATGCTGACAACAGGAATGCTATGGGTGTGTGACAGCAGGGGGTATAATGAGAAGTATCTGTAACCTCTTACTTTAGCTGTGAACCCGAAACTACTTTAAAAAAATAAGGACTTCAAAAGAAAGAGCAGCTTCAGAGTAGATGTCTCCTCCATTATGATGTAGTCATCAATAACTGTCACGACTGCTTTAAGAAAGAGTATCTTGCTTACCCAGATGGAACTTTTCCTGATGCTTTAACCGTGCAAACCGTGATTTGAAATGTTCTTCACAATAGGTACACTTAAAAGGCTTATCTTGAGAATGCAGAATCATATGTTCCTCCAAGTGTGGTCTTCGAGTAAAAGATTTCTTACAAATCTAAGTTAAAATGCATATAAATGCAAAAGAATCAGAGTTAAAAATTAAAACATTCATAATGAGAAAAAAAATTCAGATGACGAAAATCCCTCCCAAAAGTATAGCCAAATTTTAATTGTAGGGAGGGAGGGGGGTCCTGGTGAAATTACTATAAGGAAGTATTTTAAATTAGTACTAAAAATAATTGAATGTCATCTACTTGTATGTTTAATAGGGCTTAATTCTAGACAGGAATTTCCTAATTCATGAAATATATGTTTAAGCTACTTATATGTGAAAAATAAAAGACTTTATCATTGTCCCCATGTTTTTGACTAGAAATCTGAGTAAGAAGTCATAGAAAAAGCATTTCAAAATTTATCTCTTTAAGTGATCAGAAGGAAGAAACAAATTTTAGAGAAATGTGACATCTGTAAGAATTTTATGAGTCTATTTCAACAAAAAACACATATACCAGTCACAATACTCGGTATTTCATGGATTATTTTATTTAATTATCACAATAATCCTATGAAAGACATAATTATCAACTTCATCATTTTATAGCTGAGGATAAAACTCAGTAAGCGGAAGATAGAACTGAAAGAATACTTTAGAGATGTAATAGGACAGATGTTCATAAATTCTTGCTTCCCACTAAAAAAGAAGTCTAGTTCCCGTCACATTAAATCTACCTTGCTATGGTGACTCGTTTGATCTGAAGAACATAGCAGAAGTGAAAATTTGGTACGTCTGATGCTACACCATAAAAACACTTGTAATTCTTACCATTCTAGGTTCCTGGAACACTCAGCCCTGGAACCCAGCTGCTACAGTAGAAAGCAGCCCAAAGAGCCTCATGAAAAGAGCAAAGATGCTCCTAGTCACTGGTCCGTCCTTGTTAGCCTAGTCCTGTTGTCCTGGTCATCAAGTAACACCAAACAGGCAGTCACATGGCTTGGCCACTTTGGAAGCAGCCCCAAGGCAGGCCAGAGCACCCACTAGCTAGACACACTAAGTGACTTCAACCGACACTGTGGGAAACAGAAAAACTACCTAGCAAAACCCCACCCCAAATTTGGATTCCTGATGCATAAAAAGGAAAAAAAAAAAACAACCAAAACAATTAAGAACGCTAGCTACTGAGATAGGTTATTATGTAGAAACAGATAACCAAAAATGGGGGGTGTGTGGGATTTCTAACATTTTATGCTCTGCCAACAGTAATGCACAGATCGTGTAACAACAGTAAGAATACAATATAGCAAATTTGGTAAAATTCTACCTCTCAGGTGCATTATCTAAAAATTAACTCATATCAGAATAACTTTATATTTAAAAAAACTCTATTAGTGTAAAACCTAATTACCTTTCTTTCCTAAAAGGCAATATTAAATTACTTTGGTTTGCTAATACAAATTAAAAATTCTTACATCACATTTCCAACTTTCACTCTTAGTCTTCTTAATGGAAATAAATTCTTGTGCATTTTCAGGATGAAATCTATCCAAGAAAAAGAAAAAGATGAAGAAAAGATGAGATTAAAACTCCATATAATCTGCCAATAATAATTATAAGAATCAGGTACTGATTTCTTTCTTTAAAAGACGGGCACATGTAGTAAAAACACAGATATCATCACCATTTTTAATAAATTTATCAGTATCCCTAAATTTATGGAGAAATCATTAAAGAAAATTCTAATCATATTTTAAATACATGTCAGAACCTAGCCATTTATATATAATGTGCAATGTTATTCACCAGACTTTTTTAGTTCAAATTTCAGTAAATTTCATTTTCTTCAGAGTTAAGTTACAATATTAAATATTCTCTCACACACTTTTTTACACTTTTAACATAAACTTGAATATAAAAAACAAATTTCCTAGAATTTTAAGACCATGTATTTCTAAATACATACCCGGCAAAACACAAGACAGAAAAGGGGATAATCAAAATTTTATACATTAAACTTTTGTATTACAGATGATAGTTTCCATATAAAAACATCTCATTCCAACAGCAACAAAAATGTGAACAAACTAACATTTGCTGCTCTTAATTTGTAGCCTGCAAAATATTACACAGTGAAAGAATGGGAGATGAGCACTCCACAGATAGTTTTAGTTTATTACCTATACCTTAGAAGACACAATAAAGCGGACTATGGAAGCAAGATAATACTTGCCTCTTTACATGCTTGGCTAAAGTCTTCTTGCTTGCATGAAGTTTATTACAATAAGGGCACTTATGCTCCTTCTTGTGAAATTCTGTTTCACTGCTGTGCTTCTTTCTGTGAACAGTTAGGTTAGACTTTGTTGAGTAGCGCTGATGACAAATATCACATTCAAAGGGCTTCTCACCTGTGTGCACACGGGTGTGACTTTCGTATTTCCCTACAAAAGGAAAAGTTAAGATTAATTGTGCATTTGCTACACTGTGACTGAAATTTGACAGTGGAATAAAATGTCATCATTTAGCAAATTTAATTACAATCCCAAATCCACACAGAAAACTAGAAAAAACTTTACCTAAATTAACTCAGAGAAACCGCCAAGACTGCTTTGAGCTTATTGCTCAGTATAAACTTTTTCTCAAAAACTTGGGTCATTTAAAAAAAAATTATTCATGTCATGTATTTTATTTGCATCAGATTTGACAAAAAATTTTTTTAAACTGTTGGCAAATTCTCTAAACTTACAATTTTTAAAATTTTAAAACTAGCCTTTAACAAAATATTTACTCATTATTATTTTCACAGCTTACTTTTACTATGTACATCCATAAATTGGAAGGAATTAATAGATCTTTTATAAACACCATAAATAAGGAAAATAATACACTTATACATATATTATATATTTTCATTTTTCTTCTCACAAGAGGTAATCTGGCTTTAAGGGCATTACAAAACTAGAGTAGTTATCAAGACATGTACTTCACTCTGACCTGTTCAAGTAAGAATTCCCCAACTTATAAGAAACAAGAAAACAACTAGTATTTGCATACTTAGTACTAATCTTCTAAAGCCAATATATACGGATAGAATAAGACAGTGGTGGCGAACCTATGAGCAAGCTGCAGTGGGCTGTTTCACTGAATGCACTAAAGGTTCACCATCACTGGTCTAAGAAAAAAATAAACAGGAAAATGTGAAAACATATAATGGATAGTCATACATAAGGCCAGATATGCATTATAATCTCTGCATGTAAGCACTACATATTCAGAACATGTGTTACAGTATTTCCAATAGTAACAACCAAGAAAATTTAACACAGACTTCTCAAAGAGAAAAGTTACAGTGAAAAAATGAAAGGCAAAGGTATATTTAAAAAAGAATACGGTTGTGCACACCAGTAAATGCAGCTACTAAGAGGCTGAGGCAAGAGGACTGCAAGTTTGCAGCCAGTCTGGAGAATTCAGCAAGACCTTATCTCAAAAGTGAAAAATTGCTAGACATGTAGCTCAGTGGTAGAGTGCTTGTCTAGGACATTGAGGCCCTAGGTTCAATCCCAGCACTAGAACAAAATGGCTTAGAAAAAATTCTTGTACATCATTATTTAGAACATAAACTTCTACATTCCAGAGACAAAAGAACATCACATGGACTGTGCACTAGGATATGAATCCTGGCTCTTTAAATAGCAGGCTATAAGTCGACAGCCATACCACCCTGATCGCACTCGATCTTGTCTGATCTTGGCAGCTAAGAAGGGCTGGGCCTGGTTAGTACTTAGATGGGAGAGCAGGTTATAGGACCTTGGACAAGTAATCTTTTTATGCCTCAAATCTTTCTGGACTGAAACACTGGGTAATCACATTTTTACAACTTCATAGGAAATCAAGCTATTTTCCTTAAGGTAAAAGGAAGGATATCAATCAAAAACAAAGAAAAACAAGTTGGACAACAATCCATTAGGCATTTAAGTGTAGACTATGTAGAAACTATGCAGGTAATATGCATGTAGCCAGAAAACATAGCCAATGTTTGGACATTTCCTAAACTGTATAATCTTAATTAAGCTAATAATTCAACCTCTGTACCTGAGTAGCACTTCATCAGATTTTTGAGAAGAAAATAATATATACATGACACTATAATAGGCTAATAAATGGTGAGCACTAGTAATTAACAACCATCATTAACACTAGCATAAGGATTACTGATCACAGTATGGGCAGAGATATACCTCAACTAAGAATCGAGCTACACCTAACTTATGACTATCCATTCCGAGATAAAAGTGGGTTTTTAATTCTCTGAGAGCACTGAATGGATGCTCCTTTGTCCACCTGACACTGCTAACAGTGTCTAGTGTACCAGCTCCCTCTCCACCAGTGCTAAAGCACACCTTCCCATTTACATATTCTTACAGTACCCTACCTCCATCACTTCCCTTTACTGTGTTCAAGAGATCAGATCTAATATTGGGAAAATACAGAGAAACTTGAAAAAAAAAAAGATTTCCCTTGATTACAAAAGTTTTACATTACACTTTTAAAACTATGTAAATAACATAAACTCATTGCAAAATATGTAAACAAGAATATACAATCTGATTTTTAAATGGCCAATGAAGTGGTTTCTGGACCCCATTCATTTTTAACTGCAGATTAACTGTGACTATTTAGATCAGGCTTTCAAGAATGAAAGACAACTTATCAACCTTCTAGTGCTTAAATCTCATTACTTATTACCAAGTGAACAAGAATACTAACAATAAAAATCTTAAAGGATAAGAAAAATTTTGTAGCAATCTTTTATTTTCTACAAAAAATGCCTTTGGTGTAAAAATGCTGTATGAAATACTCAGTACTTTCCTTGTATTTAAGTCTTTTCTTGTTAGCAAATAAAAATTAAGTTACACGTTACTGAATACTAAAACCATCAAAATGGCACTTAAGTTAAAAATCAAAATCATTTTGCCTACTAGGCTTCCATTTTCCTACAGATGAGTAGACATGAAAAGATTTAAGCCAAAAAAATAGAAAGTTGAACTGAAATAGCTAAATTAGAAAAAAAAAAACCTAAACATTTTTGAAAAACAATTTTAAATGCATTCTGTAAAACCCATGAAAACAGAGACAATTAATTCATTACAACATTAAGAATCTCAGAATTGAAAAAACCTTTTGTTATTAAAGTTTATGGCCACAGCCCCTGAAAAACCTATTATCTCCATGGATTTTGAAATTCTGAAGAACAGAAGAAATAACCTAGAGGGAATGCTGGATTCAAACGAGCCAGGGAGATTGCCAGAGACTAGTGGGAAGATAAAAGTTTACCATCAAATAAATATCACATTTAAAGCAATTAGTAAGGGTGTGTGTGTGTGTTGGAGAGAGGATATACCTCAGTAGAAAAAGTCAATATCTACATCTGTTTCTTCATATTTATGTGGTGGGAGATACAATAATAAGAGTATAAATCAAAAAATTCATTTCAACTATACCAGTTTCAATTAAAAAGTATTCCTTCACAAAATATGATATTACATCCAAGCATTTTTATTGGGAACAGAAACTACCTAATATTAAAAAAATCTTATCCACAGTATCTTTATGAACTAAATCTCATTATGAGTTAACTGTGTTTCAAATCATTTTCACATAAACAAATTTGACCATGTGTTTCAGTATTGCCTTAAACATGCCATGCAAAATTGTTAGAATTTGTATGTTATTTTTCTAAAAAGAAATGTTACTAAATTTTTAATATTGCTACATCTTAAATTGTACATTGACTCTATTCATATAGCATACTATAAAAAATGCATAACTAAAATATTTAAACTAATGTTATAATAACTTTTCACCAAGGACTAAGTGAACCTCTGTCAGGATGGACTATTATCTCATTTTTAAAAAGGGAGGGTGTACAAAATATTTTTTACCTCTAGAAGAGATTGTGATTTTAATCCAAGGAAAGATTTTAGTTCTCTGTAGGAAAAATAAAGAAGAAAAATTATCCAAATTTTCCCTCATCCCATCTGTCATTTTATTTTTGCGTCTTTACCCACTAGGTTTTTGGTGTAAGGGTCAGAGGATTCTTATTTGCATGAGAATTTGCTGAGAAAAGGACAGCTGGTAGACTAAGGAAAGACAGAACTGGATCAGGAGTGTCACTTCAACCATTAAGAACATCAGAAAAAAGAAAAGATCCATAGTAATGGAATTAAATTATCACATTATATTTTGTGTAGCTAATGGTTCAAGTAAGTCTCAGAGCTCATTCGTCTCTCAAATTCACTCCAAGACAGCCACCTTAAAAGCTGATAAGGAAGTGTAACTGGCTTCTTACAATTTCAGTGTGAAGCGAGACACCAACTTTTCCACTTAGTTCAAGAAAATAAGCGTTTAACAAAATTTTATTACTTAAAATGACCTAGGATATTATCAAGAAGCTTCAGGCTCCAAAATTAGTTAGAATTAACAATTAATGAGATAAAATAACACCCAAAAGTCTGGGTGGGCATTTTAAAATCCTATGAAAGGAATAAATGTAATACAAGGATTGGATGGTAGCTCTTACACTGCTGAGAATATACAGGACACCTAAGATACACGTTCTATACATTCTCTTCATTCTACTCACCACCAATGCACAGCATCTGATGTTCAGTACAACACTAATGTTCTACCGTTGTCTCATTTTTCATTCCCCAAACCATTCATCTTCCTGGCAGCAGTGTGCTTCTGCTCCTTTGCTATATGCTCCTTTTTGTCTCCCTGGCTTTCTCATTCCTTTTCCCAATTTCGTTCTCCACAGTGAAGCCAGAGTGATCTTTCTACCACTCCTATAGGCTGCCATTTTCTTTGTCCAGTGTTTTTGTAGTTTCTGTCAGACAATAGCTAAAGTCCTCTGTATGGCATACAAGCCATTCAAACTCTAACTTCTGCTTCATACTTACTGATCCTCATCTCCTGTCATTTTCCTTACAATCCCTTACCCACTTTGAAACCATCCACATCTTAGCAATCTGTAGAACACAACATACCTCAACGCCTTTGTACGTTGGTCCTTTTGCCTTGTGAATTCCTATTAAATCTCAGATCAAATACTGCTTCCTCTGTGAAATATCTCCTGATCCCCACTAGTCCTCTGTATTTATCTTGGTAAGATTATCATGATTACAATATGGTTGTTTTCTGTATATACTCATTAAGCTCTAAAATTTCAGAGGGCATATCATTTCATATTTATTTATGAAAGTGTTGGGCAGCTTAGAGACAATAAATGTTTGATTCCTGAATAAGACAGCAGCTATCATTCCTTGAATACTTAAATTCTGCGCAATATCTTGAGTGATTCCTTATTCCCATTATTCCTCACCATAATCCTCCACGAGAAGGTGCTATTAGCATTACATTAGCATGGTCTCACATAGGAAACAAAAGCAAATGGGCTAAGTCCTATATTAAAGTCCTGGATTCAAAAAAGTCAGGCAGTCTGCTATTAGCTTATGCTTTTTAATCTATTCAATATAAGATATAGATAAAAGGGAAAGAGGGGCCAGTGATTTAGCTCAGTGGCACCATGCCTGCCGGGCAAGTGCAAGATCCTGAGTTCGATCCCTGGTTCCACTAAATAAATAAATGAATAAATAAATAAATAAATAAATGATAAAAGGGAAACAGAGATATACTAATGTAGTAGAGATGAGAAAGTACTAGTAAAAAAGAAAGCACCTCTAATATGGATAAGCATAAAAGGAGAAGTATAGTGTAAAGTAAAGTACATTTTAAAAGTAATCTAGACATAAGCCTACAGTGTGATGTATTGATTCCATACCTATCTGGACTTAATCTGGTAAAAGGCATTTTAAAGCCTTCCTCTTAGTACATCACACTTTAATTTTGAACGTCTTCTGAATCTGTGTAAAATTCTAGTTTCCTGGGACATTAAATGAAGCTCTCTCAAAAGTATCTTGTGATAAAATCAAATTCAGTGGTTTTTTTTTTTTAAATATAACAATGTTATAAAGTATAGTTTACCTAATTTTCTTGTGTGGTGCAGGGCCTTGCAAACGCTAGTCAAGCTATACTAGCCCCTAGCTTTCCCAATCTTACTGTTCAGTAGGATAATCTGAGATCTAAGGGCTGGACCTATAATGCATGCTGTGAAAACTGACCCTTGCTCAGTCATCTCCAAGTCAAATTAGGTCAATTAAGGCAGAATCCAGGAAGCATGTGCTAAGGGTACAAAGTCTAAGACAGAGCCCATTGGAAAGATCAAACATTGTCCAATACCTCAACCCTAAAGAGCTGTTCTCTCCTCTATATATACAGTCATAGTATTTGTTAATAGCTCTAAAACACTGTTAATTAGCCTAACAAGTTACTTGTACAAATAAGGTCTTCCATTTGGCTAAACTACTAGAGAAGTTACTTTATTCATACTGTACAGAGCTTCACAGTAAAAAAAAACTTTTTGATAAATTTTTAAACTGGATTGTTGAAAGAGTTCTCATTAAGAAATATTCAATAGGCATTTAAAGTGAAAAAAGTTATCATGATAATGCTGTAGTGTATATTGTCGCATATTCTGATAGCAACTGATTACCAATATCAGTAACATAAGTAAATGAACAGCACCAGGCACATGGGCATAAACTAAACTGTATAACTAATTTTACAAGATTAGGTTGCACTTACATTCTATCACTGTATTGGTTAAAATATATTTCACAATTGTCTAACTTGAATTTACATATAAAGAGCTTAACTACTGCAATTAAAAGTAGATATTAGAAGAGTTCATATAAGATACTTCCAAAAATTGTTTTACTAGATTTTAGTAGCAATCTCAAAACAGGATTCAGGTTATAGAACACATTTCTTAGGCTTTTCTAATGGGCAAAAGTTGACTTGTTCATTATTAAATAATTAGTACTACTAATTAGGGCACTTCCTAAATTATCCACCTACAGTATTGTTATATTCAGTACAATTTTATTTTTCACTACATATTAGTCTAAAACATCCCAATTCTAAAAAGTGCTGGATACTAGAAAGATGACTGTATTTATAACACACATAGTACAATGCATAAAGAGGAAATAGTATACAAATTATTGAATTCAATCGGATATAATTAATGACTCAGGAGCAGCACTTATCTCTGAACTAAATTGGTATATAAACCAAAGCTGTACATAATACTCTAGTCTTTACATCAAATATATGAATTAATGATTAGCTGTTAGTACACAATGAAGAAAAAGGAAAGATAATATAAAAACTTAATTCCTGAGTCACAACAAATTTAAAAGAACAGAACAAACTGGGTATTGAAAAACTGAATTATCCTCCCCACTTAAACACTCTTTTACAGTTATTTTCAACGTTTAGTTTTAAATTATCACCTTTAAGAGATCCAAGAAAGGTAGTCATTAGAGACGGAAAAGAAAGCTTTCTTTTCTTACCTATTCGGTCAAACGTTTTATCACATTTAGGACACTGCAATATTTTTTTGTTACTGTTTTGAATGACTACTGGAGTTAACCCTTCATGAATGCTTCCTACAGAATCACCAGCTTCAGGTTCCTCTTCCGCATCATTATCTTTTTCACTTTGTTCTTCAATGTCAGAATATTCATCTGACATCTCCTCCTCTAGCTCATCTTCTTCGGCGTTATATTCACTTCCAGGATCCTCTGAATCATTTCTACTTGACTTTTCCTTATCAAAACTTTCTTGATTCAAATTGTCTGACCCATCACCACTTTCCTGTTCATCATCACTGGTGTCATCAAATTTAACAGAGCACTTCCGATTCCTTTTTGATCTTCTTGCTGAAAAACTTCTCTCCAGCATTTTTAACCCATGTTTTTTCCCTAATAGAAGGGACCTATGAGTTTTAGCCAAGTGATTCTCTAAAGACTTTTTGTAACAAAAATGTCTACTACAGAATTTGCACTGATGATTATTTGATAGTCTTCCAGTTAATTCATTTAGTGTTTCTTCTGTTGAGGACTTTTCAGTTAGTTCTGATTGAAAAGAGGCAACATTTTCATTGTTTAGTAGCTTTACTGCATCTATAATGTCCAAAAATTTTGCAGCCTCTAAAACGAGAGGTATTTCATATTTGTACACAAAGAACTCTGATGTGTAAAGAAATTCAAGCAAATGCTGAAAAACTGAATGTGTTACGTGATCCAGGGTGACAACATCAGTGCTTGGATTTTTACTCAAACATGCATGAAAATAACTACTGCCTACAGCAACGACTACTTTATGTGCACTAAATTCTTTTCCTTCTACTATGATAAGTAAATCACAGAAAGATGGTTGCTTCTGTCTATCATCATTTAAGTACTTTAGCAAATTCTTATTATACTGCAAAGAACTCAAAAGCTTTCTCTGGTCTGGAGAGGGAGGAAGTTCCTGGTAACAGTGAAGAGCTTCAGGAGTTGGTCTTTCTGTAGAATGAGTGCAGGTCACTTGGTCGCACTCCACTGCAACATTTCCTTCTGAAGAATCTTTATGATAGCCTAGATGGATCTTCTCGTCAAGATTTGAAGTAACCTTTCTCCTCTTCTTCATTGCAGTACAGCAATTTCAGAACAAGAAACTTCATAAGGGTCTTAGAGAGATGTATAAAGGAAAACTAGATTGTCTTGGGTAACAGCTTCTGGAGGGGCGTGCCCGAGGGTTTCATGGTCTGCAAAAGTGTAAGAATCATGTAAATTAACTCCCACAGCAATCCTAAATCAGTCAAGTAATCTGTCAACTCATCTATTCTAAATTATAACTAAATTATGACATAAGTCGCAACATTCATTCGTGGTTAAGATTTTAGGGCGGTGAACAAGGACGGCCAGGTTAGAAAAGACAGTCAACAAAAGAATAATTTTAAAGGAAGCCAGAGCACACCTCCCAGGCCTGATTTACCAACAGGGTGGTAATACCTGAGCAGAAATGGGTGGAATCCAAGATCACTGACAGTGCAGACTGAGGGGGGCTGCGGTCGTGATTTAAGGGTGCTAGGAGAGTGACAATAAAGCCGACGCGGCCGCAAAACCCGAGGCTCTCCATGAACATGCTTTCCCGGGGCAGACAAGGCACAGTTTTTCAGACACACAGCGCGTCCCTCGCCCCAAAACCTCCTGGCAGGAGATGGCCTCGGAAGGGGCACAGACCAAGAGGAGCGAGGTCAACCGGAGGGACGACTAAAGGAAGCCAAGGAGCCTTCCCAGGCCCCGGCTGGGCGGAGAGTGCGCTCGCCGACGAGAAACCCGCTACCCTTCCCACCCAGTTCCCCAGGGCAAAAGCCCCACAGATCCATTACCGGGAACCCAGGGCTCCCCCGCTGGCTCCCTGCCGCTGAGCTCCACTCTGGGCGCGCTCCCTCCAGCGCCTACCCACTTCCGGGTTCAGCCCCCCCACCGCTCCTTCCCCTCCCGGAGTCTGGCTGCCTCTGCACCGCCGAACGCGTCAACCAAGCGCGCAGCCTCCAAGAGGCCCAGAGAGACCAGCGCGCGCCCCGGCGCCGCCGAAGCGCATGCGCGCGCACCCTACTTTGCGCATGCTCCGTAGCGCCAATTTGCTCCCTCGGGGACCTTGAAGTCCTTTAGTCCGGGTTTTCGTAGAAACTGGGTGGCTCACAGTGATTGAATCGGAGAATCTTTACTGCAGAAGGAGGAAAGAAAGAGGGCAGGATTGGTGCGGAGTTTGGAAGAAATCAGTAGCGACGCAGTACCGCGACCGGATTTCATCCTCACTGGTGTATTTAATAGTTTGAAATCAGCCAAACCCTAACCGCCGGAAGCCGGTCGCAGCGCACACACTGGCAAACACCTAACAAACCGATACTGATTTCGCCTCATGTCGATAGCAAGATTTAAATGCAGTTGCTGCTAACATTTTTAAAAACTTTATTGCACGCAGAAAAGCATAGAAAAAAGATGCAGATAGAAAAGTATGCCAAAACAAAAAGAAAACTCGAAATGGCAACTTTTGGAACTAGTAGCTGGCGTTTGGCTTTTCTGATAGTCCCACTTGGACAGATGTCACAGATCTGAGATCACATTTTGAATACAAAGGTCTTAGATCATGTGATTTGGGGCACAAGAACAGAGACCAAATGAAATGAGGGGCCCAACCTCTCTTAGCATCCACTTGGCGTTCCCACGACGTAGGTGGAAATCCAGAGGCCACCTTCTCCGTGGGGTTGGATGATTCTCCTGTAGATAGGCAGACTTTCAGTACATGCCTAAAATGTGTTGGCTCACACTATTGTGTACGGATGTTTTAGATGTGATTAACAGGCAAATCAGTAGACTTTGGGTAGATTACCCTCTAATAATGTGACGGACGACATCCTATCAGTTGGAAACCTCAAAAGCAAAAACTTGTGTTTGCCAAAAGATGATTCTCCTTAAGACTTAAACTTACGAAACCTTCCTGAGTTTTCAGCTGTTGCTCAGCAGAATTTGCATGAAAACTGTTTTTCAAATTTTAACATGGGTTTTCAGCCTACAGGCCCCTACTATGGATTTTGGACCTGCCACCCCTTGTGACTCAACTCCTTCACATCTCTCCATCCTATTTCTCATTCATGCAGCACTAAAGTTCAGGACATCCACCACCTTGCAGATGCCAGACGTTTTGGCAGAAGATAACAAACGGAGCAAAGGCTCACAAAAGAGAATATAAACAGAAGGTTAGGAAACCGGAATCTTCGGACATCAGCATTTCTTCCTGGTGTCTTCCTTTTGCTGATCGGTCTTGGTTTTAACTTCGCTGTTTCACAAGTTTATTTCTAAATATGTAAATTATTTTCATGTATTCAACCGCATATCTGTCAGATACTTTATATGAGGAATGCGAAATTTTAAGTGAACATTTTTAATAGCATCAAATATAAACCAGGAATGAATCTAACAAGTTATAGTCAACCTTTATACACAATTCTCTTCAACGGGACTAGCAAACTACTTTCTGTTAAGGGCTAGATATAAAACAGTGTTTTATATCTCACTTTTTCTGCATTTTCTGTTTTTTGTTCTTGTTTTTGGTTTTTTGTTTTTTTTTTGTACTGGGAATCAACCTACGGAGGTTGCACTTTTGAGGCAGGCGGTGGAACCACTGAGGTAAATCCCCGGCCCAACTTTTTCTGCATTTTTGAAAACAATGCTTTAAGAATGAAAAAAATATACTTAACCATGCAA